TTTATGTAACATGAGCTTTACTTAATATCCTAATGATTTTTGGCATAAAAGAAAAATCGATAATTTTGACCCATACAATGTATTTTTGGCTATTGCTACAAATATACCCCAGTGACTTAAGACTGCTTTTGTGCTCCAGGGTCACACACACACATACATATATATACAGTATATATATATATATTGTAATAGTAATACATACTATAGTAGAAGAAACCTTAGTGAGTAGTGAAGTATAAACAGCATTGTTGGCATAACTATTAAACTGCGATAAACGAAACAAAGCTTTACATGGGCTCAGGTAAGAAATTATTAGGTCGTTCAGCACTAATGCTCCGGTCATGAGCTTGATGTCGCTGAACCGCCTTCAACTCTATAGCTCCCTCCTGACTTGACATGACTGGTGAACTGTTGGGTTCCTCAAGCAGATACTCCCTTGGAGTTTTACAGGCATTTCTGAGTCGTCTCCAGACTTTTTTGTTTAAAAAGATGAACAAAACAGGATTGATGAAAACATGCATGAAAGCAATACATTCCGTCACATGAATAGCAAAGTCAAAGTGTATGTTAATGGTACAAGCATAAAAAATGTGGAGGTCTTGCAAAGCATGCAGGAAAATGACAACACTGTAGGGAAACCAGAGGAGAAAAAACATGACGGTGAATCCAGTTTCATGTCTAAACACCTTGAACGGGCTCCTCACCTCAGCAACACATGGTAGTCTGATCGAACAAAATAGGAGCACTAGGAACGGTACAACAAACCCAAGTATGTTCATCTGAAATCTCGTGTAGATCTTCCAACCAAATTTATCGTTGAAGTGATAAGTGCAAATGTACTCTTCGTGGAACTTTTGAGTCTCAACAAAGCTGACATGAGCAGCTGCAGCCAAAACTGAGAAAAGCCACACCAAAATACACATAACAGTATTCCTCTTTGGACTGTTGAAGATGCTGGTTGTAGAAACAACACATGCAATGTCCATAAATCTCTGCAAGCTCTGACTAGCAACAAACAGGTTGCTGCTATACAAACTCACCATGTAAACCAATGAGATTGCCTTACAGCTTTGATCACCAAAGATCCACTCGCTACTGGCATACACTGCCCAGAAGGGAAGGCTCAGTGTGAAAAGAATATCCGATATGACCATGTGCAGAGGCAACACCTTCCTCAGAGTTTTGTATTTGATGAACAATGTCAGAAGGGTAAAATTAGCAATAATGCTCAATGCACAGGTAATGGAATAGAACACAGGTAGAAACACATGGCTGAATTCCTTTACATGTGTCTTCTTGCAGAGCCCAAATTCCTCAAGTCCTTCTGAATTATAATAGTCCTCATAGCTGTTGTCCTCTGGGTTTAATACATCCATGGTTTCGAATCAGCTCAGAGTCTTTGTTGCGAATTTTTGTTACTGAGATAGTATCAGTTCCCTTTTACATAAGAATGTACTTCCACATCAGCCCGACACTCAATGACACTTGCCCTTAAGCTTTTTTCATTTCATTCTTCTGGAAAATCACAGTTTCCAAGAAACAAAAAAAAACAAAGCATGGAAAAAATTAGTATGCAGTGAAAACGGCCTGAACTTCTGATTCTAGTGCAATGAATCAGAGAAGTCTGCTGTGCAAAAGCACTTTTTTTTTAGGGTAGACCTTTATCAACAATAAGCGAGGAAACATACTTCACTGAGTGTTGGAAGGAGCAGGAAAAGAACATATTACTCTCTCTCACACACACACACACACTTTAAGTGCAGTAGTTATTTTGTTTTTCTGGTGTGTTTAGCAACTCCAAATACATACTTAAAATGAGAGAAATAACTTGTTTCCCTCCAATTGGCCTTTTACCAATAAAATAGTGTGCGTGGCATCATCCTTAAAGAAAACTAATTTTAGGATTATTGTAATGAATGAATGAATGAATTAGATTTAACAATTTTACATAGCATTATATTACACATTAATAATTTCCATGTTAACATGTTTGTGATTTTTATTTATCATAGTTTCTTACCATTGAACCAATATAGAACTGCAACTATATTCAATTGTAACCGGTCACAGTGCGTGCGGGGAGATGCAGCGAGGACTCAAGTGCAGGAGAAATGGTTATTTATTTTAGTAAAAAATGAAACAAAAACAAACTCAAACCACCCCGAGGGGGAAAAACAGACAGGCAGGCCTAAAGCTGCCCCACATGCAGACACGAAACACACACAATGAGAAATGACGGATCAGCACAGGATGACAGACACCAGGAGAATAAATAGGAACCAAACGAGGAGGCTAACGAGGGAGACACAGGTGGAGCAACTTAAACAATAACGAGGTGACAAGATGGGAGGGGCAAGGCAATAGACAGGAGAGAGCACATGGCAACAGACAACACAAGCCATGTGCTCACCGAACACAGTCATCTGGTGGCCCTCCTGGGCACACCCGCTGAAGACTGTGACAGTAACCTATATGCATAACATTTTTTACTTTTTTTTTTTGTTTGCGTTAGGCAAACTATTTAGATAAACTGTAAAAAAAATAAAAATTAAAAATAAACACTGGCTTAACATTTTAGTTTTAGTTAACTTTAAATGTGCAGTTGTACTAAGTGACAGTTTGGCTATTTGAGCTGACTAAACTGTAAACTGTAAGGCAGCACAAACAATTAAGTTGAAACAATTTTTTTTTTACCATTTTTACAGTGAAGGCATTTTGTTTACAATGAAGAATCAGGTGCAAATATAAACCATTTTAGTTTTATGTTTAACTTTTATTAGACTGCAGATTGAAAGAAATTAATGTGTGGTAATAGGCCTATTATTTGTAAAATGCAAGAAATTAATGCTTATTCTGAATGTGTACACAATCCTTTTTGATACTGTAACAAACAAGAAGGCAGGGAGAAAAAGGAAGGCAGACAGATGATAGTGGCTCTAAACAGGTGCACCACTGTGGTTTTTGGCCCCCCTGAACAACATATTGACTCAGGCCCCTCTTGGTAGAAATTACGTTCTGGGGGGTTGTTTGCACAGGCCCCCTCTCTGTTCAGGGCCCTTGGAATTGCCCAAAAACTTCCCTCCTTTTACAGCGCTCCTGGCTCTAAATACAAGAGGTTTATTAAATAAAAAAGCCAAACAAGAAACTAGGAAACAGGGAACTCAAATTAAATAAAAACACAACATGACAAGAATAAAGGGAACTCAAAAGGAAACGGAAATACAGGAGACATCCACAGCAGTGGTTACATCGGTGAGCGTGATTTGACCGAGCACAACATGTTCCTGGATCAACATCCTTGTTGATCCTGGAACATCATTCCAATCAACCAATCAGAATTGAGAGATAACTTTTCAGGAAATGTCAGTTTTAGGCTTACAATCTGGATTAGGTGCTTTTACACCCTTGTTAATCAGCTATCATTTCACACTGATTTTAGGAATAAATTATGGGTAGGGTTAGGTTTAGGGGTAGGGATTGGGTTAAGTCTGTATTTTTGGACAGTAATGTTGATCCAGGCCAACAAAAGATGTTGATCCAGGAACATGTCTTACTTGGCAAAATCACGGCGACCGGTTACATCCACAACATCTGACCAGAAAACGACTGAAGGTTGTGGGGGACCAAAAAAATGTCCCCACGAGGTCAAAATTTATTACTATACTTGTGGGTCCCATAATGTAGGCAATACCAGGTGCACACACATCTTGAAACTATGGAGTGTGTGGTGGCTGCTTCATCCAATAGGGGCAGTCGTGGCCTAATGGTTAGAGAGTCTGACTTGTAACCCAAAGGCCATGAGTATCGGTACTGGCAGGGATTGCGCTCTCTTCCATCCTCAATACCACGACTGAGGTGAGACCCTTGAAGAAAGCACCAAACCCCCAACGGCTCCCTGGGTGCCCCAGCAAAAAATGGCTGCCCATTGTTCCGGGCGTGTGTGTGTGTGTGTGTGTGTGTGTGTGTGTGTGTTCATTACTCACTGCTGTGTGTGTATGCACTTGGATGAGTGAAATCCAGAGCCCAAATTCTGAGTATGGTACACCATACTTAGCTACAAGTCCCATCACTTTCATTGTCAATAGAGTTTCTTCCACAGGCTTTTGGCTGCATTATTTTTTACTAACCACCAGATGGTGCTGTTTTCAACACTCTCGAAGCTTTGAATCTTTTACTGGAACAGTCAGGGTAAAAAGCCTTAGAACTTTATGAAGCTTGATTTCCCCATCCATAACAAAGGCTTCAGTCTCCTGTGACCCTGCAGAGGATAAAGCGGTTTGTAAAATGGACGGTTGGAATTTAATAATATTAATGTGAATTTAAAGCATCCTTTAACATTGCCAAGAAATTGTGCTTTAACGTGAGTGAAATTAGATAAACGTACGGGGGGCCCATGTCCTAGAAGGTTGAAAACCCCTGGACTTGTGTTTCTCAACAGGGCGGTTTCTCTTGTGGCGAGTGAGAGTTGTTCCGTCTACTGTGGCTGACTTATGCTGTGTTTGATTTACCTCGGATGTCGGAGCTGAGAATGACGTCACACCCAAGTGGACCATGTTCCAGTAGAGAAGTCAGAAAACCAAGATGGACGCATCCATTGTTAGCAATACCAGTCGATTAAAACACATAAAAAGTGGCATTTTGCACGGATTACACCATCCTGTGGGCACCACTGAGTTTATTGAGACACAGACAAAAATAAGTGCTAATAAACAATATATTACTACTGTTTCTCTTCTGTTGATGCACTGAACAGCCATATTGGATTCTGAAGTTGGAGTTGTTGCGATTCCTCCGAGATTCCGAGTCGGAACTCTGACTTGGGAGGACGTTCCAGTTAAAAGTTCCTACTGGGAACTCGGAATTTGCAACTTCCGAGTACAAATCGAATGCAGCATTAAGGCCCTGGTATACTTTATTTTCTGCATTAACAATATATGCTCACATACCACCATTTCAGTTACATAGCATGGGATATTGTAAATGTAATGTATAAGTAAATGTTAATTCAGTGGCTTGTTAAAGTGTTAATACATAGATGAGTCAAACCTCGCAGACATACCTGTTTTTTTACACTTCACTTAAACAGAATCAGGAAATATTTCAGTTTGTCAGCTGAGGAAACTGAAACTTGTGTGTTGTCAAGCTGTCGTATGCATGTCTCTAGCTGTATTACAGACTGCTGGAAACAGAAGAGAGTCTACAAATGCCCTCAGTGCAGACACACCTTCACTTCAAGACCTGCTTTATGCAAGAATGTCATAATTGCTGAGATGGTGGAGAAACTGAAGACAACCAATATAAAAACTACTCATCCTGCTCACAGTTACGCCGAACCTGGAGCTGTGGAGTGTGACGTCTGTACTGGAAAGAAATACAAAGCGGTTATTGGGAGGTTGAGTGGAGTGGAAGCAATGGTGTGTTTATAGCAGTGTCATATAAGAGCATCGGCAGGAAGGGATTGCTTAATGAGTGTGTATTTGGATGGAATAATAAGTCCTGGTTTGTACTGCTTTCCTTCTAGATATTCATTAATGCAAAATAACATAAAGACTGAACCCCCTGTGTCCTCCAGATCCTCTAGAATAGGAGTGTATGTGGAGCACAGTGCAGGAACTCTGTTCTTCTACAGTGTCTCTGACACAATGACCCTCATCCACAGAATCCAGACCAAATTTACTGAGCCTCTCTATCCTGGATTTGGGGTTGATATTGGATCATCAGTGAAACTGTGTCATCTAACAATGTAGATTAGAGATTCTTCGTATGTTATAGAGAAAAAAAAGTATCTTATGAAGTATTTTATGTTGTATATAATGTCTATATATATATATATATAATTTACATGGTAAAATTGTGTATTATTAATTATGTATTTTCTGGATGACCCGTAAATTTAAATATTTATTTATATTTATAAAAATATTTATTTACTGAGCAGATATTAAAACCATATAAATAATAGCTAATACCTGCACATGGATCCAGCAGAGGAAATCTTCGACAGAGGACCAACTCGATCAAGGTTGTTAAGGGAAAGTCGTGGCCTAATGGTTAAAGAGTCGGACTCGTAACCCAAAGGTTGCGGGCTCTAGTCTCGTACCGGCAGGGATTGTAGGTGGGGGGAGTGAATGTACAGCGCTCTCTTCCACCTTCAATACCACGACTGAGGTGCCCTTGAGCAACTGCTCCCTGGGCGCCGCAGCAAAAAATGGCTGCCCACTGCTCCGGGTGTGTGTTCACGGTGTGTGTGTGTTCACTGCTGTGTGTGTGCACACTTTGGATGGGATAAATGCAGAGCACTAATTCCTAGTATGGGTCACCATACTTGGCCACATGTCACTTCACTTCACTTTCTTGTAGTTCGTGCATTTCTGCA